CCCCCATGAGGCTTACAGTCTGGACAGGATTAGGTACCTGTAGGAGAGATCCCTTTTGACTTCTCTTATTAACTGAAGTTACTTTGCAGGAAGAAAAAAAAAGGGCTTAATGAATATTTAAGTCCCTTCAAATTCTTCTTGATCTTTGAAAATACATTCCTCTCTCCCAGAGTATTATCCATGAACCAACAAAAATGCTTGTTAAATTGCTGAATTGTTACTTATCTCTATTTAGTAAGTGATAAACGCCCATAAGGGACTTTTAATATTCATCTACCTATTTGGGATATGTTTCATTATCTCCTAAAATTATTTTGAAAATGTAAACTTCAACTATTCTCTTTGTGACCTTAGAATTTTTTTGTATCAGCTAGATCAGCAAGAAGCACCTGATGGTGTCTTCATCTTCAGAAATTTCAAAAGAAAAACAAATTTTCCTGTATTTTTGATATCTATCGGCTTCCTCCATTTAGAAAAATTCAGCACAAAGGGAAAACTCCTTCTCCAACTCTACAAAAAATTACTATTAAACATGCTATGATCCCTTTAATAGCCTTTGGTTAATTCAGTGACCTAAGTGTGTGTCTCTAAACTGCATTAATAACTTATTTTCCTGCAGCTGTAACACTAACATTTTCTTCTGGAAAGTCACAGTCTTGAAGGAGTAATTGCAGGGTGTTTATGGTGTAGCCAAACCCCTCACTGAGGATACACACCAACATCCCTTCACTGAAGGCTAAGCCTGGTACAGGAATGCTAGGGATATTGACAAGAACACAAGGTGAACCTTGGCCTGTGGCTGTCTTTTTTTGGTGTCTACAAATTTGCTGTCCCCCAAGTTTCTCATCTCCTTGTCTCTCATTGGCAGGAGGTCTGAAGATCCAAAGGCCTGAGCTGCAGTCTCAGCTTTGCCATTTGCTGCTGTTGGCTTTGACAAGCCATTTAATGGACTTCTTTCACTCTGCTGCTCCAAGCTCTTCCCAAACTGCTCACCCTGGGGCCCATCTAAGGCCTCTTTCTACCATGGATCTCATCTAACTTCTTTTCCTTTACCTGACACATTGCAGTCATCACCTTTCAATTCCTGAACATGCCTATCTGATCCGACCTCACTGTCCTGGCCTGGAATGGATGCTTTCACCCCCACCCCCACTTTGCCAGTTCCTCTTCATTCTTAAATTTCAGTCTCATTCAGAAGACGGCTTCTGTTTGCTCTTTAAAAAGCGTTCTCTCTCTGCACTCCAATTTCCTTCATAGCACTTATTACAGTCTGAAATTCACTTGCTTCTTTTTTGTTTATTTGGCTTTTGCCTATCTCTTCCACTGGACTGTAAGCCATGGACCATGTCTTGTGGTTCATTGGTTCCGAGCCTGACCTCAGTGGATTTAAACTTCCATCTTCCTTAGAATTTTATTGACTTTTAGAACTCACACTCTTCTATTTTATTTTATTTTTCTATCTCTCCAGTGTCTCCTCTTCTTCATCAACCTTTCTTTCTTTGCCTGACCATTAACTATTGGCATCTTACAAGGGTGCTGGCCTAAAGGGCCTCTTCTCACTCCATTTCCTTTCAGCCTCTAGTGATTCCTACCTGTTGTTATTTGCAGCCTAGTGGCATCCACTCCACTTGAGGGTGGGCAGGATTAATTATTGCTTCTAATAAACAGAGTCCAGTCTGGTTACTCTTGGAGAGTCACTTCTGAGATTAGGTTGTAAACAGACTGCGGTTTCTCTTGGGGGCCTTCATATGCACACTCTCATTCTCTTGCTTGCTCACCCAGGAGGAGCCATGTCTGTAGAGAGGCCCGTGTTTTGAGAAATCAAGGCCAGCCAATATGGGTCCTCCTCCCCCAGTCAAGCCTTAAGGTGAGACCATAGTCCTAGCTGACAACTTGAATATAACTCTCGACCTTGAGCTAGAGGCACCCAGCTAAGCCCTGCTGGGTGCACAAACCTTAAGACAACAAGTATTTATTTTAAGCTACAGTGTTTTAGGATCATTTGTTGCACAGCAAGAGATAACTAATACACTTCCCTGGATGGTTTTATAGCCTCTGTGGCCTCTGTAAGCATTCTCCCTACCAGTACCCCTATATTTATATTTTGCCTCTCAATTCTCTGTCCACTTGACCTTGCTACTTGGTTGTCTCATAAATGCTTCAAAGACTTCAGGTTCAAAACAAACTCATCCAGCCACATAAATAAATGCAAATGCCACGATAGTGGCTTTGTTGCTGTTCACTGATACATCCCGAATTCCCAGCACATAGTAAATCTTCACTAAATGTAGATGAATTAATATTTCACATCACACGTGCTTCTTTTCTGGTATTTTATATTTCAGTAAATGTAGTACAATCCATTTAGTCACTCAAACCAGAAATTTGGGTTTATTCTTTACCCCCTCACTTTACTGCATTCTTACATCTTATCAGTCTCCAAGTTCCATAGGTTTGATATCCTTAATATTTTTCAAATCTGCCTGTTTCTCTACCTCCACTGCCCAAGTCCAGATTACCATTATCTCTTGCCTGGACCATAACAAAGACCAAACTGGTTTCTCTTTATTTACTTTATTTGTTTTTTAAAGTTTTAAATGTAACATACAGAAATGTACACAAACCAAAAATGGAGAACATGATGGATTTCTACCAAGTGAAAACAGCCCTTTAGCCAGCATCTGGATCAAATCAAAACTTACCAACACTTGTGGGGCTTTTCTGTACCCCCCTCTCTTCACTTATCCTCCCCCTTCATCACTATTCTTCCATCTACAACCAAGTTGTTTGGTCTGTTTTTGAACTTCATGTGAATGGAGTCACACAAATGGAACTCCTCTGGTCTTACTCATTCCACATCAGGGGACTCATCCATGTGTTGTTTACCCCATTGCATTATGAATTTGTTCTGTTGAGGCTGGACAGTGGGTGGTTTTCAGTTTGGGGCTACATCAAGTAGTTCTTGTATGTCTCTGGTGACCACACATGTGAATTACTACTGGATTTGTACCCAGGAGTGAACTGCTGTGTCACAGGGTAGGTAGGTGTTCAGCCTTAGAAGACTCTGCCACATACTTATCTAGAGAATTTAAACTACTTCCCCTTATACCACCTGAAAACTCATCTAGTATCTTTCTTTTTTCCTTAAGTTTTATTTATTTTTTAGAGAGGGGGAAGAGAGGGAGAAAGAGAGGGTGAGAAACATCAACCAGTTTCTCATCAGCCTCTCATACCCCCCCAACCAGGGACCTGACCCACAACGCAGGCATGTGTCCTGACTGGGAATTGAACCAGTGACCTTTTGGTTTGCAGGCTGGGGCTCAGCCCACTGAGCCTAGCTAGCCAGGGCTCATCTGTGGCGGACCCCATCCTGCGGAGTCCTCCAATTCGCCGCGGATGAAATACCGAGTCATTCCAGACACCAGTTGTCTGTCAAGGAAAGGGGATGGCAATTCCCTCTAGTGGGGAAAACCCTAAGTCCTTCTCTGAAGTGGCTTTTATTGAGAAAGATTTGTGCAGATGTATACGTGTGTGCAAAGCCTATCAATCAATGCCTAAAGGCTATATTTACAGAAAACAGATAGAGATCATAGATAACAATTGAAGGAACACAGAGATTTGCCTCAGGTCAAGGTCTGTAAGACATGCTGACATCAGGTGGTTGTTAAGGTATGGCTCCTGAATTTAGGAATTCATTCCTGTTTGGAGCTTAAGTATCTGGTTTTTCCTTATCAGGGCAGTGCAAAGCAGAGCAAGCTTCAGTGGGTGCAATGCATTCTTTAGGCCAGATTTCCCATAGGAACCTTCGGTGTTAGCATCAGATCATGTTTGCCTCCCAGCATTCCCAGTTTTCTGGTTGAGACTTACGGGCCCTTTTTCAAGGCCTGGCTTGCACTGGGTTACAATTCCCGACACCACACAAAGTGGTCCCCAACACTCATCTAGTACATTTCTTGCCTCAGGTCTAGGATCAGCCATTTCTCCAAGGAGTCCTGATTTTTATCATTAGCTGATTTTTTTTTCACATTATAAAAGTCACATAAATGGAATTTTTTAAAAGGATGAAATTAAGTAAAAACAAATGGAACATCTACACCTCTTTCACACTCAGTGGAGTAAATGGGATATAAAAGATTCTTGTGAAAAACCACATTATATGTAGAGGAGTGAGCTTGAGGGCTGGTGAGTGGGGTCACAGTCTGCGGCAGGATGAAGAACTGAAAAGCACGACAAACATGGGTTCCTAGGTGCCATTGCCATCTACTCCTGTGAGGAACCTCCAGTAGGGGCATTCTGATGCCGAGCTGGTCAGAAAGGCTTCTGAATGCCCCCATTTCCACCTGCTTCAGTATCTTATATGAGCGAATGTAGCCTGAAACTCCACCCAAGATTGAGGAATATTAGGTATCAGATAGTATTAGGTGGTGGCACCAGCAGCTACGGGTATTTTGGGATGATAGCAATGTCCTAGTTTTCTAAAAATGTACCAACCTCTAAAGGAAAGGTAATTTAGTTTACTCTCAAAGGGCCAACGAGAGTGACTATTGAGCTTAGTTTCAATAGTGTCACTTCCCTCCCTGAACTGCAAGGTGTTTTAGCTTCCAGGTAGAAAGAGTGTTCAGGAAGGTGGAATGAAGGTGTTTGGGGGAACGTAACCAGTCTACCCTGTTAAATTTGGTGGCTTGCTTGGCTGAAACTAAAATGCCAGCCTTGACAATTGTGGAAGGAAACACTAGGTGTTCTGCATAGGAAGGAGACTTCTGTCCTCCTGGAACTTGCCCAGGGCAGGAAAAGGTGGCTGTGATGGGCAGTCTGACAGGCCAGCATCATGGCTGATATGAGGAGCCAGGCTTGGAGTTGGCAGCCTCTCTGCCTGGGCTGTTTGCAAGATCAGATGTTAGTCTTGCTTGCCCACTAGGAAGGAACAAAGCCTTCATGATAATAGCTGCTGGGTAGTTCCAGTTATTGCAAGACAAGGGCATCACGATGTGGGTGGAGAATAGGGACCTTGTTAAAGAAACTGATGTACTGCTCGTGGCCGATGAACTCACAAGTGTAGGTAGTGTGCTACACGAGGGGCAAGTTTTCGCAAACACCACGAGGGTCTCTGGCCCCATGAGTGGAGTTTGATAGTAATCCTTGCAACAAGTGATTTGAAAAAAAAAAAAGAAAAAAAAGAAAAAAAAAGAAAAAAAAAAAAGAAACTGATGTAGCCATACAATGGAATATTGCATGGCTAAAAAACAGCAAGACACAACTGGAGAAGTGCAGAACTCTTGGCACACAACTATTCCGTCCAAACCTGCACTAAGGGACTTGACCATACTGCTGTCTAGCTTCTAACAGCTTAAGTCTAGGACATCCCGAGCCCCGGCCTACCCAGGACCAACCCCGCCCCCGCCAGCCCCCCACCCCTGTCCCGCCAATAATATGCCGGCCTGAAAAAACTCAACGCTGCCCTGATGCCAAGGAGAATTTACTGTTTGTTCTAGCAAACACCTGATGATTGGCTCCTGACCTCCCTTTCTTAGAGCATTTACTAAACAGAGCTTATAATTGTGAACATATGTCTCTTACAAACCCAGATGCCATCTCTCAAGGACCTGAGAGTCACTCCTTTGAAATGTATTCGCCAGGAAAGACAGGCCCTTTGTTTTCCTGCTTCGAGAGAGGGTAGACCACTGACTTCTGTATCTCACGGCTAGCATACAGGAACACAGACACACCTGGCCTAATCACATCTACACTGACTGGCTTTTTGTGATTTTTTCACTTCTCTGATCCTACTGAGCCTGGTTCTCTCACTCCCTCATTTTACCTTTCCTAAACGCCCGAATTGGATGGCGGTCAGCTCTTTCCCCTGCTGTCAGCAGTTTTCGAATAAAATCTTTCCGCCGGTTCAACTGATTTTCGGCTGTGTTTGTTTTTGACACGCTGTATGTTTTTTTCTCTATGTTTTTTATATTGAACAATCTCTAAGATGTGTCACACAGACACACAGAGTGGGGGCAAGTCAGTGGCATATGGTACACTCTCATTTTTCAAACAACGCTCAGAATAGGCGAGTGTGGCAGGCTGGGCCGGATTTTTGCTCTGGGTCTCTACCATGGTAGCCCCGCGCTGGAACTCTCGGGCGGACGCCCTCGCGCAGACCGCCTCAATTTCCCCAGCAGAACTCGAGGGCTTGGGAGTGTCTGCCTCGCGGTTATCACCGCTTCGGGTGGCCCAGCACCCGGGGTCCAAAGTTGGCGCCGCGAGAGAGCCGGGAAAACCGGAAGTTGGAATGGGGGAGTCGGACGGAAAACGCCGGCACACTTTTCACGGTCAGAAGGCACCTGGTTGACCCCACTCGGCGGTGCAGCCCCTCCGGGGCGCGGACCAGAGCGCGCAGGTGTGAGTAGCTAGGTAGTGCCCTGGTAAGGCGGGGCGTCAGCCAATAACCGACGTCTCCGAGGGGCGGGGCAGCGTCGTTGCCTGGGCGACATGCTTCCAGCATCCGCGGTCTGGGCTGAGCAGAGGGCGGCACCGACTGTGAGAACCGGCCTCCCGGGCCTTCCGAGGCTCCGAATACGTCCCCTCCGGCTGCTTCGCATTAGGAGACCGCGTCGCGGAGTTGCCTCTGCGCCTCTTGTGGTGAGAGTGCCGCCGGCTGCGTGAGCTCTCACAACCTGGTCTCCGACAGCTTTGGGGGTTTTTATTTTTCTTCTTTGAAAAACGTTTTTATTTTTTCCTGGGGCCCCTCCTATCTAACACTTACACTGGTTTTCTTTATTTCTGTTGCGATGGTTAACATTTTCTCTGCCGTTTTTTCGATTATTCCTGTTTTTCATGGTCTCTCCTGCATTCTTTTATTTCCCCCCTGTGGTCTTTCCTTCCTAAGGCTAGATCATCTGCATTGTCCTGTCTTCAGCCTGGGCCACCTTAATTAGTACAAAATTGTTTTTATTACTTAAAATGATTCTTTGTTCTAGTTTTTATTATTCTGGGTTTTTTTTTTTTTTTTTTTTTTTTTGTGAAGTCCTCTTTAAGACCTGAGTTAGCTCTCAGGCCAGTCTCTGAGAGTAGCTCATGATTTATTTCCTAAAGGTAGCATTTTCTCCTTACTTAAGCTCAATGAAGCTGCCTGACATCAAAGTTGGCATTTGTGTATCCCGTGCCTGAAGCTTGGATAAACGTCTTCATCCATGATAGTCATCCTTGTGACAACCTCCTGAGGTGAGTACATCTCTAAACTGGTGGCTTGTGAGCTGGGCCCAGGTGTTTTCTGCTGGAATTATATGGAGTTCTTTTTAAAAAATTTTAGTCATCAACATTTAAAAGTCAGTACATTTCACATAGAAATCGAATTCTTTTTGGCTTCTCTTGAAAAATCCTCAAGCTTTGACAATACTGGGCCCCCAACTGCCCCCATTTAAACAAAATATGGTTTCTGGAGGCCTCTGAAGTCCCTCCCCATGGCTGGTCTTACACCCAAGGAACCAGTCATTTGTGGTACTGTCTGGCTGCTGGATGCATTTAGGTTTTGATCTCTGCTTTACTTATTTACTACCCTGCCTGGGTGCCTCTATGAATTCTTTCAGGGACAGAAATTCCCACACAGCAAATGTGAGAGCTTTTCCTCCTAGACCTGCTCGGTCCTAGAGACAGCCCTGATAGGGTTTCCTCTCATTTCCAAGAAGGGGCTAATGTCTGTCGGCTAGCAGGCGCTCAATAAATATTTTTTGAACAGTTAAATAAATGTTAAGACTTTATTTGGTCAGGTTTAGGCGATTCCCTGGTGGGATCCAAGTCTCTGAGCTTCCCCAGTATCCCTGAAGTGTCTCTTTTGTCTGGTAGGGAAACTTTTGCCCAGGAATCAGGACACACCCCCTCTTTTTTGGACTTGGTGCACTTCTGGGACTGCCATGGGTTGAAATAATCCACCTAAGGAGCAAGGCCCCTTCTCTGGACACTGGCTGAGCTCTTCTTAGATGGAAAAATGCCCACAAAGCGATTAATCTTTTCCAGGGCTCCCTGCGGCTTTTTCTCATTTTGTAGCTCTCTCTGGCTTAAAAATAATATGGACTTTTGCTGTACCTTTGTACATCTTTCTTTACCTTGAGGATTAAAACACCTGGAAACCCCTAGGAGTTTGTCACTTCATCAAAGTGACAATAGAATGGATCAGAATCCTAGGACTCCTAAAACATGTTTACCTCCAAAAGTAGAGTTGCAAACTCAAAGTGCTGCAGTGGTGATTTGAGAGCAGGCCCTGAATGTGGGCAATTTGGGTCCAGGGTTGCCAGATGTTCTAATTTTTCAGTAAAATCAATTTTTACTATAATTATTCTCATTTTTTAAATGTTGGAAACTAATTTAAAAAAAAAATAAAACCCTTGTTGAGCCCTTGCATCATGCCTGTGGACTGGTACAGGGGCCAGTCATGCCTGTCTTACTGGGTGAAGTGGGTGTGTCTCACAGGACTGATGGGCTGAAGGCAGTGGGCATGGAAACATTTCTGGGAGAAGTGAACCTTCCTGGGGTTTGACCCCAGGTCTGGCCCCAACCCCATTCCTGACTGGGAGGTGGAATATGAAGCCACCAGAGATGTCTGAGGGTCTGGGACCCCATGGATAGTTGGGTCAGACCTTTTTGCCCTCGCTAATGCTAGCCTTGAGAGGGAACTGGGGGTAGGGAGCTGGGGGTAGGGAGCATTTAGAAAAATCAGATTGATTCCACATATTTTGGAGGTGTAGGGCGTGGGGGTAGAGGGGCGACCCTACTCCTCCTAAGTTCCATCTTATGGAAAGAGAACTCTGTGCCAGTCTTGTGGAGAACCCAGAGGACTTGCTGACCAGCCTGGAGGCTTTAAATAAAATCCAGGATGTCTTTATGGAAACTCTGTAGACCTTCAGAAGATCCAAAGGGTGCTGAAAAGGAGCATCATAACTCTCCACCCAGCAAAGTGCCTTTTTTCCTGTGAGGGCAGCTGCAATGTTCTCTCTGAAATGTCAAATATCAAAATCCTCCCATAAAATGTATTTTTCCATGTTGGCGCTCCTGCTTGGCTGGCATTACGAGGAGTACTTGCCCTGAAAAGTGATTGGGACCTGCCGATGCGGATCTGGGAGTGACCTGGCCAAGAGCAGGTGCAGCTGGGCTCAGGACCTTAAACCCCGGAACGCTGGAAGCCAGGAACCCTCTAGGACTGTAGCTACGTGGGGAACGGGATCTGGGAGGGACTTCCTGTTGTCCTTAATCCCAGTCTCCACCCGTCTCCTTTTCCCCGGTGCAAGCTGCTGAGAATCCCTTCCCAGGGGAGGGGCCCTCTTTCCGCTGCCTGAGGTGTCCCATTCACCTCCAACTCAGTGAGGATGGGGGGCTGGGGAAGGAACGTGGATCCAGAGAGCAGCACAGGCAGCCAGCCGGCAGGAAGGGACAGGGTCAAAGGTGGAGGGCTTGGAGAGAAGGGGGCCTGGACCCAGCCTGGGGAAGGGGAAGAAAGGGAAGGACGGGAAGGACATCCTTTGTCCAGGACCATGAGCCGGATGGACTCCTAAGTCCAGGTGGGAGGTTACAGCCGCAGGGAGGGTTGCTGATAGTGGGCAGCTCAGTCTCTGGATCCCAGGCAGGGCTGAGTCAGGTGGAGCACAGGGTGTATGTGTGTCCTGGACCAGGGAGATGGCAGGGCCTGGATTCCTCAGCTGAGCTGGCTGTGGCAGCTGGGGCCCCACACAGCACCTGTTTTGTAGGATCTCTGCAGATCTTTCAGCTTCTGATGACAGGAGATACAGATTCCTAGTCAGCCCTGGCTTTCCCTGAGCTGATTGCTCTGAGGTGCAGCGTTCTTCTTTTGATGACAAAGGGAACAATACAAAATAGCATTCTGTAGAAGCGAGGGACCAAAAAACAGAGAGGGGGGCTATTGGATGGCATCAAGAAGGATTTATTTTTGATTGGGAATAGGGATGAGTGTGGCCCTACATGGGATTTTTGGGGCACTTCAGAAGTGTCCAGGAGACGCTAGCTGATTTCCTTCTGCTCTTCCAGGCTCCTGGCCAGAAGCTGGAGGGGGCTTGGCCAAAACAGAAGGAGAAACGACTCAGCTCTGCTTTGTAGCTCTGAGATAGAAAATGTCTGCAGACTGTGGAGGCACCCACGCTCCCCAGGACAAAGAGAGAGCCCAAGAGGTATGGATGTGGTGCCAGGTAAGGGAGGTATGCTCTGGAAAAAACTGGAGTTGGATGGGATCTTCACAGCAAGGCATCCAGACCAATGGAAGAGTTAGACTCACTGGGGTCTGGTGGGCTGGTGGATGGGGGTGAAAGGGGAAATGAAGAGAGGGTGGTATGATGGGAAATACCTTCTACCTGGGAATCGACTTCTGTGGAACTGCATTGCTTGGCCTGGTACATTCCATAGTCAGCAGATAAAGGCCATAGGCGGTAGCAGTTAGGCTGTGTAGGGGTCCTACCGGTGAAGCTAAGTCTCCAAAAAGCACCCAGAGCATACAAAGGAGCCTCAGTCTCCCCCCTCCCTCCCACACATATTCTGTCCTTGGCCTGGGACCTCTTCTCCTCTCTCTGGGTCTGAGCATCTAGGCCTTCCTGTACCTGTTGTCTGTGTGTGTGTGTGTGTAATTACAACCTGTGGGAAGACCAGAGTCACCAAACTTGGAATCAGAAGAACATGAGTCAGTTGCAGCCAGATGGGTGACTTTGGGCAAGTACCCTGGCCTCTGGGAACCAGGAGTGTGATCTATAAAATGTGGATCATGTACCTGTTGTTCCAAATGTGTAACCCAGGTGGTTGGGAGGCTCAGAGGAGATAATGGGCACAAGAGTCCTCTGTAAGCAGTTGGCCAGCCTGCAGGAGATCATTATTGTAACACATAATAAAAGAACACTCACAGCAACTGGAACCTAGGTCAGAGAGACCTGTATCCCCTCATCTAGTAATTCCAGTGGTTCTAAGTACACATCCAAATCAAGTATTAGTTTTATGTTTTTCCTACCATAGAGTCACAAAGAATTATTACCATTGTTTGGTTTCCCTTCCACAATGCCTTTGAAAAACCAACAGACCTCACACGTCCATGACACTCTCTGCTGATGCTGGGTTTTGTCAGTTCACGCAGTAGAGTAATAATAATTACAGGTACTGTTCTGTGTTTAGCCAGAACTTTCTGGAGCAGGCAGCTCTGTCATGCATTATCTGTATGGGAAGTGTAGCAGCTGGGTCTTGGAGGCTGCCTTACACACGTGGCTCTCAGGCACTCTGACTCCTGCCCTGTGGTCTTTCCCTTTGAGACCCTAAAACAAATGGAAGTGGAGTGGGTCGAGGGACAAGAGGGTTAGGGATGAGTTCCCAGCAGAAGGCTGGCCAGTCCCCATGCAGTGGATGACCATGAGATTTCACCAAGGGCCTCCCAGTAAAAGGGAAGTGACTTAACCAAGGCTCTTGAAGTTTGGGTGGAGGTGGTGCCTGCTTGGGGTTGAATGGCTAGTGAGGAACGGCTCTGGAATTTGAGCCCCAGTCACCTGACAAAAGCCTGCTCCTTACTGTTCCAGAGCATTGAGGCTGATGTTGGTGTGATGAAGAAGGGATGAGTTGAGAGGACCCTGAAGTCCCACTGGGTGGGGCGGTGCTGAAGGGGGTGAGCTGCAGAGGAGTTCTCCTGTCAGACCAAGATGGGCACCAGGCTTTGGCACGCTTGTGGTACCCTTGGGCTTTTTTCTCCAAACCAAAAATCTCCAACTGCTCTGATCAAATTGAGTCAGGCCAGATATGGCCCAATGCCACATGATGCCTGTCATCTTAGAGACGGGGAGTCGGATCACTTGAGTTCAGTTCCTGGCCAAGCCATTCCATGATCTTGGGCTATTGTCTGATCTCTGAGCCTGGATGTATAAGTTTCCCAGGGCTGCCATAACAACGGATCACAAACTTGGTGGCTTAAAACAACCAGAATTTATTCTCTCACAGTTCTGGAGGCCAGAAACCCAAAATCAAAGTGTTGGCAGGGCTCTCTCGCAAGGCTCTAAGGGAGGGTTGTTCCTACCTTTTCCAGTTTCTGGGGGCTCCAGGTGTCCTTGGCTTATGACAGCATCACACCAATCTTTGTTCTGTCTTTGCATGGGCTCCTCCATGTTTCTGTGTCCTCTCCTCTTTTTATAAGAACACCAGTCATTGGATTTTCAACTCACTCACTTGGTTTCCTCATGTATAAAAATAATAATCCACACTACTGTTAGAAGTGCAAGTCTTGAATTGAAACAGGCAGCTGCCCTGTGGGCACTTGGCCAGCCTGAACCTAGCAGGGCCTTTACAAACCTGCTTTTCTTCCCTTTCACTGGGGAGCAGGAGATGAACAGGTCCCTGGGAATGGGAGAAGGAAGCAAGGCCAGTCCTTCAAGCTGTGTCTTATATTTGGTTGTGTGTTTGGCCACACTAGGCGTCTTCCCCTGCAGGAACCCTTGGGTGTGGAGGACATGGAGCTTGGCTAGGTCTCCCAGTCTCCATCCCAGTATTAATGGCGGATGCCATTCCTAGGTTCCAGGTCATGGTCATCCTTGTCAAGAAGTGCTTTCTGAGTCAAAGGAGATGGTGTCTTTTGGAGCCACTCGGGAGTCACCCTACATTAAGACAGAAATGCAAGAGCTGCACGCTGAGGGGGTGTCACAAGAGGACAGGGCTCAAGGAGCTTGGAGCTGGAGGCGCCTGGGCCAGGGCTCTAAGGAGAAAGCTCTTTTTCTACCTGGTGGAGGTGAGGAGAGGGATGTGGAGAGGTGCTCTTCTGGGCAGATGTGGGGAGAGGTGGAGGCTCACAGGTGGGAAGGGGAAGAGGTTTCTGCCATAGTAAGAAGAGATGCCTGGATGTCTGCCCACTTGCCTCTCGAAGGCCGCCCTGGCACAGTCTCAGAGCCTACTGACCCTCTTCTTGGGTGGGTCCAAGGTGGGCTTTGAGGCAGCTGTGGGTTTGCCAGGCATGAGCTCGTGCAGGGAGCAGCAGGACTGCAAAGATAAGGTGGCCTCCCTCAGGACCTCTGTCCTCTTTCAGCCCTCCCCTCCCCTCAGATGCCTGTGCTTTCCCACGAGGGGAGGACCAGAGACCGGCAGATGGCTGCAGCGCTCCTCACTGCCTGGTCCCAGGTGAGTGCCCCTGTCCAAGTCTGGGAGGGAAATAGAAAGGCACGGAGGGAGGGTGTCTCTGACTGAATCATCCTCTGGATCTCAGTGCTGGACCTAAGGGTGAGGGCAAGAGGGGGAGGTACTAGAGATCCTGAGCTTTGGCTGTGATGTCAGAAAAGAAGGCTTCTCTCTTTTTTTTTTTTGCCTCCTGTCTTCTGCTATACACAGTTGCCTTATTCTTGTCCCAAAAAAAGCCATCCTTGGGTAACTCCTGCTTCACCCATAGACCTGGGCAGAAGGTTAGGAGTCAGGATCTCTTCTTGGCCTCAGCTTGGCCCCAACAGACCCCTCCATCATATTGTGGCATGTCCTATAGAGTAGGCATTTTGTGTTGTTTCAGATGCCAGTGACCTTTGAGGATGTGGCTCTGTACCTCTCCCGGGAGGAGTGGGGGCGGCTGGACCACCCACAGCAGAGTTTCTATCGGGATGTCCTGCAGAAGCGAAGTGGGCTGGCCTTGGGTAAGGGCTGGCACTTGTGCTGGGGTGACCACTTCCTGAGGCCCTGGATGTCAGAGGTGGGGTCGGTTGTGCCATCATCTCCCAGCTTTCCAGGGCTTCAAACCTTCTCATTGTTCACATAGATCTGTTTTTCTATAAAACTTTCCTAGTGACAGGCATGCTCTGTATATAGGCTGCGATGGTAGCCATGAGCCAGATATGGCTGTTGAGCACTAGAAATGTGGCTAGATTAACTGAGTATTTAATTTTATTTCACTTTCATCACCTCAAATTCAAACTGATAAATAGCTACATGTGGCTAGTTGGCTACTGTATTAGACAGTGCTGATCTAGAAATTCTGCTTCTCTTTGGATCTTCTGTGGTGCTTATTCCTGTGGTTTCACCCTTGTCTTTCTCGAAGCCCAGCTTTAGAAGTGTCTGAGCAGAAAACTGGGCTCTGGCTCACGGCTACATGCCTGCAGTAGGGGGACGTGGTATCAGTAACATCTGCCCTGAGGGGCACGTCCTCTTTTCAGAGGGCCCTTGGCTCTCTTGGTTTTTCTCACAGTAAATAGTTATGTCTCAGGGCTTTGAAGCCTCACTTTCAGACTCTAGTTTTCTTGGCAGATTTTTATGAGATCTTATGGAAAACTCAGTGTTCATTCATTGTTATCCATTCATTCAGTTTATCTGTCAATACATATCTGTTGCACACGTGCTAGTACAAGCAGAGCTTGGGCCTTGGTAATGCCACCTCGTGACTTCAGTGGTGGGCTGAGACCACACTTTGTCCCTGTTGGGCCCTAAGATCACAGCCACTCTGCTCACTCCTTTAATTATCTCAGGTTTGTTTACCACCTGTTGTTAACACTCCCAGGGCCCAGATCAGCAGGTCTGGGCAAGCTCTCGGAGATCACAGGGAACCTAGCACCCATTTGTGGCCTCATGACAGTCCTCACGAACAACTTAAACGAAGGGTCCCCAACCCCTGGGCTGCAGACTGATACAGGTCCGTGGCCTGTTAGGCCAGGCCCCAAGGGAAGCTTGCCTGAGCTCTGCCTCCTGACCTCCCCACACCGTCCCCCATCCCCATCGGTGGAAAAACCAGTCTCTGGTGCCAAAAAGTTTGGGGACCACTGACCTAAACCACCTAGTTTGTCCAGTACATTCCCTTCCTCCCGTGGGGCTTGGATCAGGGCATGGAGGCCAGGCCCTTTGCTGTCTTACTGACTTGACCAGAATTCTTGGGCCCTTATCCAGGGTCTTGGCAAATGGACCTTTTGATCTGACTTCTGGGTGGTCAGTGTCCCTGGCCCCTCTTTTCTCAGGCCCTCCCACCTGGCCTTTCTTTGCCCCTGGCCCACTCCCAGGAGCCCTTATTGCTCACGGTCCTGGGAAGGTGTAGGTGCAGGAATGGGAGACTGTGTTTGGTTCCAACGTTGCTGAGCCCACTGCTGGGGCTGTGAATAAGGGGGTTGCTGGCAGCTGACTTGGCCCAGTCCCTTTTCCATTGCTTCTGGTGCTCATTCAGGGAAACAAGGCAGAACCCTGCCTCAGCCCTGAAAAGAGTATGTCTAGCAGTGACCCTGGAATGTGCTTCCTAGAAAGGATGGGAAGGTGACCCCAAGCACTCTTAAAGGTCACATGGTATTACCTGGGGTTTCCATAGTTGTACCTGTTCCCCTTTTGCTCTGTCACTTCTCAGGGGGTGGTATCTCCTGCTGGGCAGCCCAGGAGGTCTGTTACTGAGCACTGCATCTCTTTTCGGCCAGGGTTTCCCTTCAGCACAACTTTCTGGGCCTCCCAAGTGCAGGGCAAGGGTGAGGCCTCAAGTTCGTGCCTACAGATGGGAGATGAAGAGGAGAAGAGAGGTGCGTTCAGAGGTGGTGGGTAGGCAATGGGTTGTTGCTGTCACTTCCAGGTGCCCCTTGTCGATACAGGCTCTGTTTCCTGTGGGGTGCAGACACATGGCCGTTCCTGGGGCAGAGGGCTAGCCTTTCCTCCTCAGCAGAGGGTGGCTCTCATTTCCCAGGTCCCCCTCAGGTTCTTGCCCTTTTCTCCATCTCTGGAATTCCCTTGAGCCCCTCACAAAAGTTCTCTGGTTGGAAACCCTTTTTCCAGGCGTGGCGGAGGTGAGAAAGGAAGAGCCGACCTCATCCCCAGCAGTCCCTGGGGATGTGAAGTCCTTCAGGACCAGGGCAGGGAGAGCCCAGGAGGATGTCCTGCAGTGTGGACGGCAGGCAACGAGTGGCCAGAGATTGGGGCCAGCCAAAGATGATGAGCAGCCAGGTCCCCGGGAGGAGAGACAGACGGAACCAGCCCTGTCCGACACCGGCCTCCCAGGGAAACCCAGTGATGAGGGGGCAGGCGGTCCTGACAGTAGCAAGGAGGGCCTGGTCCCTGATGGTGACGCCTGCAAGAAGACCTACAAGTGTGAGCAGTGTGGCAAGGGCTTCAGCTGGCACTCCCACCTGGTGACGCATCGGCGCACCCACACGGGTGAGAAACCCTATGCCTGCACGGACTGTGGCAAGTGCTTTGGCCGCAGCTCGCACCTCATCCAGCACCAGATAATCCACACGGGTGAGAAGCCCTACACCTGCCCCTCCTGTTGGAAGAGCTTCAGCCACCACTCTACGCTGATCCAGCACCAGCGCATCCACACAGGTGAAAAGCCCTACGTGTGTGACCGCTGTGCCAAGCGCTTCACCCGCCGCTCAGACCTGGTCACCCACCAGGGCACACATACAGGTGCCAAGCCCCATAAGTGTCCCATCTGCAGTAAGTGCTTCACACAAAGCTCAGCCCTGGTCACCCATCAGCGCACCCACACAGGGGTCAAGCCCTACCCTTGCCCTGAGTGTGGCAAGTGCTTCAGCCAGCGCTCCAACCTCATCGCACACAACCGTACACACACGGGGGAGAAGCCCTACCACTGCCTTGACTGCGGCAAGAGCTTCAGCCACAGCTCGCACCTCACCGCCCACCAGCGCACCCACCGCGGCGTCCGGCCCTACTCCTGCCCTCTCTGTGGCAAGAGCTTCAGCAGGCGCTCCAACCTGCACCGGCATGAAAAGATTCATACCACAGGGCCCAAGGCCCTGGCCATGCTGATGCTGGGGGCGGCGGGCGCTCTTGCAGCACCCCCACCTACTCCCACCTAGGAGGCCCAGACGGAGGGGCCAGGCCCTGGGGAGGAGTGAGGGCAGCTGCAATGGCAGTGAGACGGCGGCCTAGGGAGTTTGGGAGGTGCTGGCATGGGGGTGGGGCATGGTAACACTGGGATGAGTTAGGAGGAAGAGCAGGCAGGCTAGCTGTAAATTAAAGGCCTTGGAATTCAAACCATGGCCTATTGCTCCATCTTGGGTAGGTGGGGGTAGGGGAGTATGGGGTGGTTGGGGGAGCTGGTGGCTGACCCCAGACTGTGGGAGGCTCTTGGTAAGGAGTACCACGTGTCCTTACTAACGCACCCCTGAGTCATTGCTCTCAGGGCTTAGGCACCCTCTTCCCGATCCTTGACCTGGCTTGGAGCCCAATCCAGACGGTCAGGACCATAATTCTCCAGGTAGAGACTTTTTAGCATACAGGGGTTTTAAAACCTGAATCCAACCAGCCACTTCTGGAATTGTGGACCCCCGATGGGTGCGCTCCTGCTGCCTCACTTTCATCCCTGGGGCATTGCCCACTGAGCCCTGGAACCTCCCTTGACTCTCTGGGAGCCAGGAGTGGGACAGAGCCAGCTTGGGAGCTCATACTTAATTGTCTCCTGCCCGCCCTGTCTCCTGTTTCAGGCACCAAGGCCGAGCTTTGTGACTGGACATTTTGCATCTGCTTCTACTGGGGTCCATTGGTAATCCAGTGAGAATTCCACATTTGCCAGGGATCACTGTCCTTCCCGGTCCCTTCTGAGGCTGCTGCCAGTTCCTGCTACTTCTTTCCTCCTTGGCCTCTTCATACATGTCCTTTATAATTTGCCCTACTCACCCATGCTTGGTTGTTTTGCTCCTGACCTTCTGGTTTTTGACTTCTGTAGTTTCTGTTTCCTAGTCTCTACTCTTTTTCCAGGGAGGGGTGGGCTCAGCCTGCTTCTTATCCAAGATTTGCAGCTTAGCTTCTAAGATAACATGCAGTTCTGACCTTGATGTCGCATCAGGGAGGTCATTGAGACACCACCTGTCTCTGTGGATCATGGAGCCACCAGGGTGGCTGCAGCCCTGGTTGGCTCCCAGCTTCTAAGGGATGAAGTGGCTTGAACAGGATGGCAGAGAGAATAATAATAATAGCTGCCAGTTGTTGAGCAGCTGCCCTGACAGGCTTGGGGCCAAGCACCATATATATGCAACCTCTGCTATCCACAACGCTGAGCGGTGGATGTTTTAATTTTATCGAGGGAACTCAGGCTGCAAGAGAAGTCCATTAACTTTTCCAAAGCCACACAGCCAGAAAGCTGGAAGCTGAAGTTAAGGACCAAGGATTTGACCATGTAAAGAATACCCCTATTTCCATGCACCCCAGCAGCTTCTGACTGTCTAATTAACGGATGATATTATGAGGGAGGGCTGTCTAAAAGTAAGACATACGGCAGACTAGACCTTCTGGGGTGTTGGACTCAGTGGGAGATGGGGAGAGGGAGGAGCATATAATCATTGGGAGGCTAGGAAGCAGCTGGCTAGTGGGAGCCTAGGCAGGACTTGGTGGTATCTGGGAGGTCTCAGTGGGATCTAGGGGTAAGTTGCTGGTGAGAAAAAAAGCAGTTCCTTCTCATCAGCTTGTCTTCATGGCTCTGGTAACAGCCAGAAATGGGATTTCTCAGCTTGGCTCAGTGTGAGGGGCTGATGGGGCTCATCCACATAAAGCAGGCTTGCTACCCCCAGGGGCTTGTTTTCTAATGAAGGAGACAGAAGTGGGGAGGAGACATAAAACAACACTAGGAGCTGTCAGCACTTGGCACAAGCTTAGCAAGGAATATTCATTTGCACAGTGGCTATTTGTTTCCTTGCACTTCAAGGCTAGCATGTCAGGACTTGAACCACTCAGAGGTCTGTCAAATAAGCCAAGGAGTCGTTAAAAGGCTTCACTCTGGCCTATGAGTGAAGAGTTCAGAGACCACAGTATCCAGGAAAAACGGATTTCCCTTTTCATAGCACAGTGCAGAGGAATGTGATTCTGAGAACCCCACAGGTCTCTGTCCATTCCTTCCCAGGTGTCTATGTAGAAGTCACCATTCTGGCACAGATCAGGTGAGAGCATTTTAAGAGTGGGACTTGGCAGTTTGGAAAATATTTGACAAGAACTAAGACTGAAGATGTAGCTGGGACATCGTGGAAGGGCCTAGAATGTCAGGGTGAAGAGTGTTCATGATTTGGTGACTGATGGAATGCCACTGAGAGATTGCAGTCTAGGGGTGGGAGGTCACCAGGGTCTTGGTATCTCTGGGCATCGGTTGAGAAGGCTTAGAGTGGTAGCCTGCTTCCTTCTTGCTTCTCACACCTGACATACCAGTTTCAGGGCACTGAAGAACCCAACCTGGATACTCACAGTTGACCTGCACGCTGTCAGGAGGAGGCAATGGGAGAGTATTTCCTCTGGGCTTCCCACCCTCTCTTTGTGTGGCCCAAGGCTCAGCCCACGTCCTGGCTAAGGACTCCCAGGGGCCAGATGGTCACGGAGCTCTCGCCAAGGGGGGGCGTCGGCGCTAACACGGCGTTTGTCTGGGACAGCTCCTCCTGAGCTTTAGTAACCAAACCAGGCAGCGAGGTCTGGAAACCCCCCGGGGGTCCCCGGGAGCCCGCCACAATCAGTAGTCTCACTGCCGGGAGGACCTATTCTGGAAGGCCCTGCTGCTCCTTCTGCCTTTAGCCAATCAAGTGTCCAGGCTAAGAGAGAGGTGTAAAACTAGCCAACCACGGCTAACAACCTTGGAGCCGACTTTTTTTTTTTCCCCTCCAGCCCCCAAGCCACACGGTTCATGGGGCTATTATCCCGATGCTCTGGGCTTTCTCTTTTCCCCTTCATCCCGCTTCAGTTGCAGAAATAACCAAGGACCTGGGGTTGGACTCCTGGGCTTCATTGCCAGCCTGAGCATTCAGAGCCCGCCCCGGGCCATTGAATGGGAGACTATGAGGATGGTCCAACCTTCTTCATACTCATGCTCCTGATCCAGCCTGTGACATGTGGTCAGGTAGGCTTCCTACCTGGGTTCCAAATGCAGTACTCTGTGACCTGCAACTCCTAGAGCACTCCAGTTTTTCTGTTCTCAACTAATAAAGCTCCAGGACAGGTGTGAAGATTAATACAAATGAACAAGCCACTGACTGGAACAAAGTTGGGCTGAAATGTAGAGGGGAAAGTGGAAAAGATGCCTGGAGGGCCTAATTCCTATAACCTCTCACATACTCTTAAGTTCCTGTGGTCATGTCCATGACAAGTTCCTGGTGATGATAATTCCCTGGGGCTGATGACTCTTTATTGAGCACTTACTATATGTTAGGAGTTAATGCTGGACTATTTGTGTTCTCTCATTTATTTAATCCTTATAACAACCCTATGGGGTAGTTAGTCAACTCCAAATAACATCCAAAACAGGAGGGTCTTAAACAAGACTGAGTGTATTTTTCAAGATAATGTGTGGAGGTGGACCAGAGGTAGGCAGCCTATGGGCAGGATGGGTATGGGAGCTCTAATCTACAAAGTCAAAAGAAACCCAGACTCCTAGCCTGCTTGCTGCTCCACCACCATTAAAAGTGCCATCTCAGGATCCCAAGCCAAGGATTTATACATGCCGATTTTAGATTAAAATTTTTAAATATATATTTTTTTATTTCAGAAGGGAGGGAGGAAGAGAGGGCAAGAAATGTTGATTGGTTGCCTTCCATACACACCCCAGAGGACAACCTGACTGGGCATGTGTCATGACCAGGAATTGAACTGGCAACATTCTGGTTTGTGGGACGATGCCCAACCAACTGAGCCACACCAGCCAGGGCTTAAATTAAAAAATTTTAAAATTTATCAATTAGAGAGAGAGAGAGAAACATTGATTTGTTGTTCCACGTATTTATGCATTCATTAGTTGATTCTTATATGTGCCCTGACCAAGGATCAAACCCCATAACCTTGACATATCAGGACAGTGCTCTAACTGAACTACCTGGCCAGGGCCTTCATTTTTTTTAATCAAATGGGAATACTATGTACAACTTTACATTAATAAGTTTCAAATTGTTGATAAAAGGGATGATTTCCTAGAAAAAAAAAACTATCAACATCTAGTCAAACAAAAGAAAAAGTAAAAATTTAGTCAAGAAGACATAGAAATTCTGAATATTCAATATCCCACAGGAGAAATTATAAAAATATTGATTTTTTTCTGTTTTTTTAAATCCTCACCCAAAGATATGTTTATTGATTTTTAGAAATAGAAGAAAGGAGAGAGAGAAACATCGATGTGAGAAACATCGATTGGTTGCCTCCCATACACACCCAGACTGGGGATCGAACCTGCAACCTAGGTATGTGCCTTGACTGGGGATTGAACCTGCAAACTTTTGATGCACAGGACAGCTCTCCAACCAACTGAACCACCTTGTCAGGGCTCTGTTTCTATTTTTAATGAAAGGACTTTTAGTAGGCAGGATTGCTTGACAGGGTATACTTTCTGGTTGTAATAGAGATCCAAAATAACAGTGGCTTAAACATGGTATCTCTTTCTCTCTCACATCACCTGCCTGGATATAAATCTAGGGCTAGTTTGGTGGCTGCACAGTCATCAGGGGTCCAGGCACCTTCCGTCTTACTGCTTTGACACCTCTGGGTGTAACTCATATGCATGATCCATGCCACTACATCCAAATTCCTGCTAGCAGTTTGGGAAGAGACTAGAAAGACATGATCCATCCCTTTCCAATAAGATGCATGCATCACGTCTGCTGACGTCTCATTGGCTTCAACTTAATTACATGGCCATACTTAGCTGTAGGAGAGGCTGAGAAAATATGTTCTTTACTCTGAATGGACAGATGTCCATTGAAAAATTCTTATTATAGAAGGGGAAAACTGATATTGGGGAACAACTAGTAGTCTTTTTGCTACAAATGAG